AATAAAAGAAAAAAATCCGTTTTAATTTTTTCAAAAAGAGGTTTAACGAACCTGGAAAAAAAATAACCTGGAAATTTGCCTGGAGAAAAATAAAACGGATACCCAAGAAAAAGAAGAAGAAGAAGATGGTATCGGTGGTGGTGGAATAAAGACATAATCATATGATGAAGGAAAAGGAAGGCAACGACCGAATAAGAAATTTATTGCCTGCGGTCAGGAAACATAAACAACATAAAAAACAACAACAACAAACAACAACAACAACGGTAATAACATGACATGTAATAAAACACCTTAAAACTTTTTTTTTTCCTTTTTTTCATTAACTTGGATTTTAAAGATGAAAAAAGTAAATAAAATGACTGACGAAAAAAATAAATTAAAAACCATTAACGGATGTCATTTTGTTTTTTTTTTTTTGTTTTTTTTTTTGTTTTTTTTTTTTTTTTTTGAAGAAAAAAAAAACCGTTAAAAATTAATTACGTAATGTAAAAGCAGACGACGCGTGATTAATTTAAATAAAGTAAAAAAAAATTTTTTTTTTTGGTTGGGGGGAAAAGAAAAAAATTTTAATTTTAATAAATTATTTTCACCTTTTTAAAAGTTATTTAAAAGTTGAAAACTTTGAAAAACCGGAAATAGAAAAATTTTCAACGCCTTCTTTAAGTAATAAAAACTATTTTTCGTTTCCGGTTTTATTAATTTTTTTTTTTTGCATCTGTTGCCGAATTTGAAATTAAAAAAAAAAAAAAATTCCCCATCTTTTTTTTTTACAATTCGAATTATTTAATAAATTTGGAGTTTGAAAATTTTAATAATAATGATAATAATAATGATGATGATGATGATGATAATAATAAGGTTCGATTTGATTTTTATTGGTTGTTTGTTGACCGGAAATAATGGTCAAAAAATGTACAAAAAAAAAAAAAAAATTTTTTTTTTTATACAAGCGAATAATATGTAAATATAAAAGCCCACGAAACAGGTAAAAAAAAAATTTTTTTCTTTTTCTGTAATATCTATATATAATAATAATAATAATAATAATAATGATGATGATGATGATGATGATAATAATAACAGGTAAAGCTTCTCATTTGACTTGCTTGGCATACTGGAAAAGAAGGGCATATAAAAGTCAGATATTCAACAAGTTTTCTTACTTATAAAAATTTGACCATGGATTTTTGTATCCTGGAACGTTGTTGTTGTTGTTTTGCTTTAAATCCAACAACAACATCAACAACAACCACTTGGAATCAAGTTGTTCGTTAAAATGAAGAGCGTTTGTTCGTTTGTTACGAGAAATTAATAATAATAATAATATAAATGTCAGAATTTGTTTAAAAAAAAAAAAAAGCACCTGTTCGTTTTGTCCGTTTGTTCATCGTTTGTCCATCGACGGTTGTAATTTAAAATTAAAAATTTTGTTTTTCTAGTTGTTTGTTTGTTGTTTGGTATCGTCATCATTATCATTATTATTTTTTATCAACGCGAAAGGTTAAAATAAACAAACGAAAAGTCGTGAATATGATGTCGGTTTGATTTTATTTGTTTAAATCGGAGCCGGTTGTTTTTAAACAAACAAAAAAAATTTTCCATTTGGTTGTTTGTCGATCGGTTTCAGACGTTTGTTTTCTATTTATATCAATCGTTGAATTAAAGTTCATTTATATAATTTACTGTTAATTTTATTATTATTAATTTATTTTAATAGTTTTTTTTTTTAAATTGTTTGTTGTTTCGAAAGAGAGAGAGAGAGAGAGAGAGAGAGAGGGGGTGGGGAGAGAAAGGGCAAACTAACAAACAACATTTTCTTATTCGTGATCATCTTCTTAAATATCAGAAGAAAAAAAATTTTTCTTCTTGTCTGAATTTAAATTAAATTAAATTAATTTAAATTGTGATGGCGCCAGCACTTTTTTTTTTTATTTTGTTGTTATGTGCGCTTTGTAAGAACATCTGTTGCATTATGTGCACCATGTAACAGGTGGTGACGGTGGTGGTGGTGGTGGTGCTGTTGGTGGTGGTTGTGGTGGTGGTGGTAGTACAAACGAATTCGAATACATTGAGAGGTTATTAAAAAAAAATCAAATTTGAGAATAGATTTTTCATTCGAGTTTGTAAGGTTGTTGTTGTTGTTGTTTGTTTAAGAACGTATCGATAAACAATGACAACCTTGAGGTTATTTACCTTATTAACAAAAGGTTAAAAGGGTAAAAACTAAACCTTTTAATTAATTGAAAAAAAAAAAAAGATTTTAATATCATCACCCTCGTGATTAACAAACACGTCAATTTTCAATTTTTATTCCGTTTGTCGACATTTTATTTTACGTGCTGAAAACTAAACAAACAACAACTACAATCGATCGATCGATCGAAAATACAATTTTTTTTTGTTAGAAAAATTTAAAAAAAAAAAAAATAATAATAATAATAATTTGGCATTGACAAGACATCCGTTGGCAATAAAAAAAAATATTTTCAATGAAAAAAAAAAAAAAAATCTGTAAACGTTATTATTATTATTATTTGTCTGGAACTTTTTTTTTTTTTAATCGTCATCCATTTTGGAAAAGTCTAGTGGAAATTTTTCAATTTCGAACGAACTCATCGTTTAAAAAAACGATGAAATTATTATTATTATTATTATTTGTCGGAACCGTTAAAAGGGCATTTAACTTTAAAAAAAAAAAATCCATTTCCGGTTTTTTTCGGACAAAAACGATTCGATAATTTTTTTTTTTTTTTGTTTAAATTAAACTCTCGATTTTAACTCGACGTTACAACAAACAAACAAACAAACAAATGCGACAAACATCCGCGATCGTTTGTCGTGTTTGTGTGTCAAACTTTTCAACATAAATATGTATATTCATTGATGATTTAAATAATAATAATAAAATTAACAACAATTGAAAAAAAAAAATTTTGTTTGTAATATTTTAACAACGCGACGACAACAACGACAAACAAACAGGTGAAAACGAAAAAAAAAATAATAATAAAAAATATAGTTTAGTAAATCCTAAACATCAACGATAAGATAAAAAAAAAAATAAATAAAAGTAAATTAACTAACGATGATTCTAAATTTAAATTAAAGTTTACTAATAATAATAATAATAATATTTGTAAACATTTTAAATGGGAACACGTTACGATAATAATAATAATAATAGTAATTTTTTAAAATGTAAAACGGGGGGCGGGAGGAAGAGGAAAAGAAAAAAGAAAAGAAAAAAAAACTCACTTTTATTATTGATCCATGTCAAAAGGTTTCTTCTTCCATTTTTTTTTATTTATTTATTTAATTAATTAATTAATTAATTAATAATAATAATGATAATAACTATTAATTAACTATTCGATAGTAAATTTTTTTTTTTTTTTTTAACTTAAATACATGTAAGCACAAAACGATGGCGACGACTACTACCACTACTACTACTATTAGTCGATTCGACTAAACTGAATAACTGAACACAAAGCCCCCGACTACGACTACGACGACGAACGAGATATTCAAACTAAATGCGATTTAAGTATACGTTGTGACGTCACAACTAAAACTACATATACATGTAGTATAATAATAATTATTATTATTATTGTTAAAGATACGTTTAAATTTAAAATTTTAACTTTTTTGTTAAACGTGGTTGTTGAAATAAGTTTTTCCTTTTTGGAAAAAAAAAAAAAAAAAAAAATCACTCTGGTGCCACGATTTTTTTTTTTATGCGTAAAAATTCAAATAATTTTTTCATCATCGTCATCATCATCATCATTAGAAATAAGAAAAAAATTATTATTATTATTAAATTCGAGTTTTATCACGAATTTAAAAAAAAAAAAAAAAAAAAAAGTTCATTGACCTTATTATTAATATTATTATTATTAAAACGCGACCTACCGTCTTATTTAACATATTGTGTGTATATGTGTGTGTGGTTGTGAGCGCAAGGACAAACCGCACACGTTGAATTATATTCTTATGTATGTATGAATTATTATTATTATTATCATCGTTGTTATCATGGAGAAAAACTGGAGAAATGGGTCGCGGGGAAAGGAAAATAATAAAATTTTTTTTTCTTACTTAACCCATTGGCCTCACCTCTTGTTACTACTCGTTGGTTTACTTACGACAAAATTACGTCGCGTTTTTTATTATTATCATTATCATTATTATTATTATTATTATTATATTATTATTATTATTATTATTATTATTATTTTCTTTTTTTTTCGAACGATGATGGGCTGGGCGACGACATTAAATTATTTTTGGGTCACCATATTTTTTTTTTTTTTTTTTTTTGCTGTACGTCGACAAGTTTTTTTTTTTTTTTTTTTTAAATTGGCACCGTTAAGTAAACTAATTATTATTATTATTTGGTTAAATAAGGAGGGGGGGAGTAGAAGGGGTGGAATATTTAATACGAGTTTAAAAATATATATATTTCAAAAAAAAAAAAAAAAATGTTACGGTTCATGTAAATAATGACTTTTTATCATTTATTAAAAAATTAACAATTAAATTGTTATCATAAAAAAAAAAAAAATTGCATAATATTATGTAGACATATATTAATTTCTGTCGTGCTTTTATTTGTTTGTTTGTTTGTTTGCCTGTTGTTTATTAAAGTCCCCTTAATTAAATATTCTTAACGACGTCAAGATTAAATTTTTTAATAAAATAATTTTCTTTTTTATCTTTTAAATTAGATAATTGCGTATTATAATTTTATAAAAGAACAAACAAAGCAAAATTTGACATTTTAATAATTAATACCAGTAATTATTTTCTAGTCAAATGAAACCAAATGAGAAAAAAAAATTATTAATCGATAAGGTTAAGGTTTTTAACAAAAAGGAAATAATTTTTATATTAATAATAGAATTTTATTTAAAAAAAAAAATATATATTTATTAAAGTTATACAGTAGTAGTAGTAGTAGTAGTAGGAGTTTAAAAAAATGGGCAGATATTAATTTAGTAATCGATGACTCTTGCAATTTTTTTCAATTGATTCAATAAAACATCTCCTCTTTTGACAATGGTCTGATATAAGTGAGCTCTTTGCTGTGCCACAGCCGGACAACCCTTCCGCGTGAGCATCGCAAATGACTCTCATCGCCACTCTATCTATTTTAACTGCCAATCTTCCAGCCGTGGCAAATCGAGCAACTTCATTCTCTATGAATTCAACGGACACGCCAAATTCTGATGCCATGACTTGAAGGCTCAGACTTCTGTATGCTTGCAAAAGTTGAGCATAAGCTCTCAATCTCATTTCTCTCACGTAATATCGATAATGAGGATTTAAAAGAGGATTCATTTTCATGTCCGTTTCCATTCTGGCCAAATGTTGAAAGAAATCTCTGTATTGGCATTGATAAAACGATTCGTAAAATAATTTAAACGGTTTTTCTTGTGGAGCATTCAACGCTTGAGCCATGACGCCTTTTCTCATTTGTGCTTCTAATTGATTTCTATCTAAAGCAATTGTGCAAGCGACAACTGTGTAACGTACTAGGCTTGAAAAATCTAACAATTCGTACGACTCAAATGTGGGAACCGCTTCTATAAACAATTTGGCAGCTTTTTCAAAATTTCTCACTCCCAGACAATACAAAGCTTCGTAAGCTTTAAGCTTGTTTCTCGCACTCCAATCCCCAGCTCCTTTTACAATCAAATCTTTAGCTTGTTCTATTGCTTTACCCATCGCTTTGATATCGCATCCGTGAAAATATGCAATTCTGAACAGGGTAAATGCAGCATCCGTTCGTTTTGTTTTGTCCAAAGTCTGATCGTTGTACTTTTCAGTCGCCAAAGCCTCTGCTGCCTTTCTATCACCGATAGAACAAAGGTAATCTAACTCTGCTCGCCAAACAACAGAACCAGTGCTCTCATCAGGATCGACTGTTTGATTTGCTAACTTTTTAAGTTCTTCGAATTTTTTTGAATTTTCTTCTTTCATTTTTGCCAGTAACACAGTGTCTACAGGCCAATGCAATTCTTCGCATAGGGATTCGTAATAAGGTGCCATATTCCACTGTACAATACCATCTTTAATTTGATTGATTATATCTTTGTTATTTTCGAATTCGGGTAACGTAAGTCGGAATCTCAGCGTGCACAATTGCAAATAACCTGGTGTTTCTTCTTCGCAATCGCTCATTTTTTTTTTTTTTTTACCTGAAAATTTATTTGACATTTTAAATTTTATACCTTAAAATGTAATACATATATTTTCAAAAGTCATCAAAATCAAATGGTAAATTTTATAAACAAATTGAGGTTATTGTTACGTTTAAGTCAATACCCGGATAGGAGTAAGTTTATATGAGACTATCGTTTAATCACAATAAGGAAAAATATTATTTTATTTTAAAATGTACAATTTAGAAAACTTACTTTTTCAAAAGAAAATAATTATTTCAGAAAAACAACAAAATTACAAGTCATAAGTTAGTCACACACACACCGAATGTAAATTGCCGCAAACT